TGAAATACATAAAAAAATTTCTAATAATTCATAGACATCATAGCAAATAATATATCATACAACTAACATATCATAACATAACATATCTAAACATAAATAGCAAAGCATGAAATATTAAAAATTCGATTAAAATATACTTAACACAATAACCATATGAGAATTCTTATCTCCACTGAACCTGTAAAATATAAAAGATAGATATGGTTATTTAGTATAACAAATATAGCAATAAGGGGTACGTGCTTTTGTCAGAGTTCAAATCACATAGACACACATAAAGTGTCCACTTAGTCGGATGTGAATCACTTAGTTCACCATTAATGTCACTTAATTATGTCCCTTAATGTCATTAAAGTCAAAAGTCTTTAATACGGACTTCCATAATCCGGAATGATCTATAATCCGGACTTCAAAGCTACAAACTTTCTGCGCATTCGTGAACGCACTGCGCGTAATACCTTTACGCAAGCGCATATGCATGTACGCATGAGCATAAAGGCCCGTTACCACTACTGCGTATGCGTTGCGGTGCGTATGCGTTTCTCCAATCAGCGAGCGAATTCACTTTGATTGACATTTGCAATCCGGTCGGTGTGCGGTGACGGATGACATACGGATGGAGTTCAACAATGTTCAACTTCTATCCGTATGTCTGCGGTTGCGTTGGGGTCTCACGTGGTGAAAAAGGAGCAATCAGGTGCAGTGACTAAAAAGTTAATGCGGCAGCAGAAGTAGCGATGAACGCTCGCTAATAGGGAAAGAATGTTTTGCTAAAAAATACTTATTTCTGAATTAACATTATAGCGAGAAATCTGCGTGCTGAAAATGACAGCAATCAGCTGAATTTAGTTTAAAATGATAAGAAAAACAAGATAACTGCAACTACAGTACTTGTTCATTCAAGAAAATCAGCGGCAAAAATTATCATTCCAAGTCCATGAAATAGCAAAATTTGTTCTGATAATCATTTTTTAGTTCTGCATACTCATTTAGCTTTAATGAAAATGAATGTCTGACTATATCAAAACTGCTATAGCAAATTAGATATGATTAAAAGATTTGCTATTTTTTTCTTTTGAAACAGGTAAAAAAACTAAAAACGTTAATTATAAAATTAAATTTGATAGCCTTTTAAATACTCCAGTTCATTGAAGAGTATGTTAAATTTGTATTTCCCTTTATAAAATATATCTTTTTGGATAACATATATTTGTAAGCACATGAAATATATTTTTAGCAGCCCGTTTAACTTCAATCGGAACGCCACTTTAAAAGATAATGATTTTTCCAAAAAATGTACTAGAAGCTGAAGAACAAACTCTGGTGAATTTTTCAGACAATAGCAAAGTGAAATAGGACCAAAAAAGTTAAGTTTTAAGAATTGATTTACTTGATGATGTATATAACCCAAAATATGCATGCGACTTACGTGTAATCCGAGCTTAGTGGTAAAGCTGATGGTAACGATGTCCACTTTTTGGAGTCGTGAGTTCGAATCCCATACGCTTTTTGCACCATGTCTGCAACTTTCTTACCTTTTTATTCCAATTTGATCTATATTCGTGTTTTTATAATTTATTTCTATTATTATAAGCATTAAATATATTGTTTTATTAATGCTCTTATTTATTTAAATTTTTCCCGCCAAAAAAGTTTGAAAATTATATAATACTAATTTAAAGCATATCCTATACATATCTATTTGAATTTAACAAACATTCTCTATTCGTAAAAAGCAAATTTAAAGTTAATTAAATTTAAATGAAATTTAATGCAACAAAGAAATGATTAATTATTGCTGTGCAAGTATCAAAATCCATGAATAAAATATATATTCCAAAAATTTATTAATCCTTAAAAAATTTATAAAAATGCATAAGTGAATAATGGGATAGATTATTAATCCTAAAAAATTATAAAAATGCATAAGTGAATAATAGGATAGATTATTAATCCTAAAAAAATTATAAAAAATGCGTAAGTGAATAATAGGATAGCTTATTAATCCTAAAAAAATTATAAAAATGCATAAATGAATAATAGGATAGATTTAATCCTAAAAAACTTATAAAAATGCATAACTGAATAATAGGATAAATAAATTTTTGGAATTATATATTTATTCATGGATTTTGATACTTGCACTTGATTTACATATGCTCTCAGAATTTAAAATGATATTGTATATTAGTTCGCAGCAATAATTAATCCTTTATTTGTTTGCATTAAATTTTCATTTAAATTTAATTAACTTTTAATTTTTACGAATAGAAAATGTTTTGTTAAATTCAAATTTCATTCCTTGCAGCAATGGCGCAAGAGAATTATTTAAATTTAATTTATTTTGAAACCCTGCAGATTATATATATAATTTTCATTTTCACTTTTATGTGAATGTATATACATGTGCTCAGACTTTGGGATGTTTACGACCTCTAAACTTTCATTCCAATTAACATGAGACAGTATTAATGCCCTAAACATTTTTTAACAAAAAATTACTATAATAATTGCTTTTAAATTCAGTCCTCTCCTGCAGAAGCGCAGGAATTAATTAATTAAATATTTCCATTTTCTTTACCTAATGTGTGTATATATAAAGAGAAAAATCTTATTTTTATAACTTCTTGAATAAAAAGAGATATAAATTTAAAATGTTTAACTTAAAAATAATATTTTATGGATTATGTATAAAATATAACTGCCCATAGTGCATTTTAAAACAAACGAGATTTCTAATAAATTATCCAGCTATGACCCTGAAGTCAGCGGTATACAAGCATAGCAAATTTTGCTTAAATATTGTGAACCTTTCCTTACAGTTGCTCTGTACTTTAAAGTACCAACTATTTTTTAATCCCTTTAACTTTTTTATTTTATGTTATTTATGGTTGTTACTTTTTCACTAACAGTACATTTTAGTTTTAATTAATATATATATATTTCATAATATTTAAGGCTTCTAGAAACACAAATTTTTTTTTTAAAATTTAGTTCAGCTTCTATGGAATTCGTGATGTTCATAATATGCATTATTACCTTACTTATCTAAAATTCCATATCAAATCCAAAACAAACAATACTCGCTTAAGCGGGAAAAATTCAGATGTTCAGCGTCGTAACTTGCGAACTGCTTGCGCCAAAATATTACAGTGACACCTAGCGGCGGAAAATGAAAATATTTTACGCATACGCAGCAGTGGAAACGCTTGTACGGATGCCGTAGGCGTGTCTTCAATTGACGCAACGCGTTCGTACGCAGTAGTGGAAACGAGCCTTAATACGTTTACGCATGCGCGTTTAATGTATAACGGACGGTATAAGCTAAGCTAAAATGATCTAATTAGCTATTTCAGTTAATGTTGCAGATTGCGTTGTTCCTTTATCTTCTGACTGGATCCGGCTTATTATTTTTTGCAGACTGTTAGAGCAATTTTATAAAAGTAAGCTTGAACTTTCGATTATGTCAAAAAGAATACAAAGCGAAAGCATGTTTCGATGTCCATCAAACAAAAAGTGGAATTGCTGCATAAAATGGATAAAGGCATATCCTTTATTTTTCTAACCATTCCGAAATCTGTTTATCAATTTCAGGCTGCTCTGCGGGGGGGGGGGGGAAACGTCGCGGCGCGCAATGAACTGGAAGTTGATCTGTCAGCACTATCCTTATCTTCAGGGCAGATGTTTTTATTTTATTCGGCTTATAATTCCTTACTAAATGTATTATTTCATCTCGATGTACTCCGTTTTTGATATGATTTAAATCAAATTCCTCGTCATTATAAATATCACGAATACATCAAATAGTTTTCTGATTGCAATTTTCTAGTTTCAACTATGCGTAATGTATGCTTTACGTATGCGCGAGTTGAAAGAAATGTTTAATAAAGTAAACAAATAAATATTAAGCTTTTTTTTAAAATTTTGATACCCTTTATATCATAATTGCTCTTTATTTCATAAATTACGGTTTCATATTTTTAATTTTATAATTTCTGCATGCCATCTTACCAGATTTAAACTGATGATCTATAATCCGGAAAAATCGATAATCCGGAATCGCCGAAGTCCCGACGAGTCCGGTTTAAAGACTTTTGACTGTATAAGAATATTATAATTTTCAGTAAGTTTTCTTACTGAATAATAAATTCTGACAGCCCTATACTCTAAGTTTGCATAAAATTATTCTGTTAAATAAAAGAATTTAAGTAATTTCTGTAGCCTTTTTGTGAATACATTAAAGATTTTTTAAGTAATTACAGGTCCTCGCTTGCAATTAGAACCATTATTAAATCCCTATTTTGTCTAATCATTTCCTGAACATTATCATGTATAGAGATTGACCTCGTCTTTGTAATTGATAATTATCACTTGCAAATTATTCTCTTGCTGGTGAACTATTAACAACTTTTTCTATTGATGAGTTAGGGTTAACAACCTTCGCTCTCGCTACCGCCTGCCTTAGGGAAATCGGCGTAAAATGCTGGTACCTGGGCTGGTTGTGCGCATGCGCGAACCTAGGAGGTGTGAATAGCCACACCGTCGGTGCGATTATCCACTGCGGGTTGCTATGCAATAATGGTCACTTCCGCACGGAATTTCCACTTCATTTTCCACTGACGGAATTTGAAAGGGTCAGACCAACACCTTGTTGCAGAAGAGGAAAGAGGTGTTGGTCAGACTCGGTCTCCTGTCTGCTGTCGAGTAGGGAAGAGAATCCCGCTTGGTTTCCGACATCGATCTCAACCGGTTTCCAGGCTAGACCCCCATATTAAGCGGTCACTATATCATCCATATCCGTGGAATCCCTTTTGAAGTCACTACACACGAATCTTCTTCACTATGCAAATTTAAATCCAACTCATCGCTGCTTGGCATAAATTTAACACCAAATAGGACTCAGCAATCGAAATTTTATCCGCAGCATTTAGCAATACATCATAGTCGTAGCTTGATTTTTCACCCTAAGGGCTGAAAGACTTTGCGGGTGCTAAATAAGACTTCTGTCTACTTTGGTTGTCTGGTAAATGTTTGTAAGATGTTCTGCATTTAAACACTCTTAATTCGTGTAGATAAGTTATCCAAGAAGTAATTATGGTTGTATTGCCAAGAGTTTATAAAGTTTTACCAGGTACTCACCTAGCAGTTTTCTTACAAAATGCTCAAAATCTGTTGAAATAACAGGAAACATGAACGGGTTTAAAATGTAACATTTGTTTTCGTATGTGTTAAATTTCTGCCATGGTTTTCTGCAACATTTTTACTTAAATTTTGTTATAGTTAAGCCATGAATATTTTGAAAGAGTTTTGCCAGACTTTTCCTTTATTATTCCGCTTTTTCTCTGCAATTTTCGAGCTAATGAAAGGGCGGAATATGTATTGTTTATACTTTCAGATTAAGGCGATATGACTTTTAACAAGCTACATGTGCGACATAAGGTCAGTTGCATCCATTTCAATACACATTTTGAAATTTCATTTCAATATGGAAAAGGTGGAAGTTCTGTTATTTCTAATTTATAGTATAACGCAGGAGTCGGCAACCTTGTAGCTGTGGTTTGCCAAACCAGTCTACCAATATGAATCAGGGTGCCGTACAGTAGGAAATGTTTGAAACAATTCGATTCCTCCAGCAATTGCATGCATAGCTAGGGAAGAGAGGTCAAGAATACAGATTTAGATTTTCATTATATATTAATTATGCATCATTTAAAGGCATTTATTAATATAAAATAGAATAAAAGTATTCCATAAATATGAATAAATTTTAATTACACATCTATTATGGATTATGTATCTTTTAAACATAATTATTAAAATAAAAGGCTCTAGTGTAGGATTGGCTGCCCCTTCGATTAGCGACAATTTTTTAAAAAATTTTGGCGATGAAACCTCATTTCTGGTTACCATGATAGTTTTAACTTTGTTTTAGCTTCCTGATTTTTTAAAATGAAAATAGATTCATGTGTACATGGGCAAATTTAAGGCAGTGCGCAATGCCTAGTTTGTGCAATTCTGGGATTTTTTTTTAAGTGAAAACAGATCGATGTGTACATGGACACAGTTTGTGCAATTCTTTGACTTCTTATTTTGGTTTTGTGTAGTGGCCATCTTGAAGTTGTGCCCTCCTGCCACTGATCTTGGCGTCAATAAAGAATTGCCAAAAATTAAGGGGCACGCAATTGTAAACTTTTACCAAATAAAATATAAACACCATGCAATTACAGCATAATAACAAAACAAGGCACACAACATCATTCACTTAAGTATTTTCATGAAAAACAATGCTAAATGCAACAGTTTCTTGTAATCTGGAATTCTGTTTTGTTGTTTTATTTTTTGCTATTTCAGTTATTCATCTTTTAGAAATTCGCATAGAAGCCGATATTTTTTTTATTCGGGGTAATGTTGATTTGGTAAATTGCTGAACGGTATTACAACACTTTTTAAAAATGTACCCTTAATATATTCACTATCTGTGAAAGTTTTGCCTTTGGCAACTACACAATGAGCAATTCTGAAAGTACATTTGTTACTTGAGTTTTGGTTCCAATTGTTTGACCAAAAATTTAACTTGTTTCTTATATTCAAAAACAGCTCTTTTTATAGTCTGAAAGTTCTCATCAGAATTCTGAAATGTGGACTGATGTTTAGTTTGAAAATACCTTTGTGTACTTAGTGTGCGACATACCGTATGATTATTTTTAATTATTTTTATGCACAAATATATATTCATTTGTCCAGGTGTCTCGAAAACCAGAAACATCAGACCTTTTTAGTGGATATTTAGTATGTAGGTATGAATTGTCATAATAATTAAACTAACAAAATACAAATTTTCACAATAAAACAAAGAACGTGTTGTAAAGTAACCTATAACGCATGATGTGCATCGATTAAAATCATCCTCAATACTTGCACATCGGTGTAACGAACTGAATGAAAGGCAAGAAAATTAAGGTGACTACATTTCAAAGTTCAAAATTCGGGATGCTATATATATATATATATATAGATTTTAAATATTTTTTTTACAAATAAATAATTTTTAATTATTGTGGTGGAGGTGATATGTAGGTCAATATATATATATATATATAAATAATTTTTGTTTAGCTAATCTTTGGAATATGGTAACGCATAGTTTGGCGACATTTTGGTAAGGCAATAAAAGTTACTAGCCAGGACTTTAGCAGTGTACATGGATAAAGTCAAGAGTGTGTGCAATGCCATTTTTGTGCAATTCTGGGATGTTTTTTTAAATGAAAATAGGTCGACGTGTACATGTATGATACCGTGTATGTGCAATTCTTAAAAACGTGGCAAGCAGTGGGCGATTCTGTACTTTGTCCCAATTTCGCACCTAATCTTCGTCATGATTAAGCACTTTTGTTCCATAAAAGTTCTAGCATAAGCCTAATTCGGCTAGCAGATTGTTGGAAAAAAATGCTGAGGGGGGGCGGAAAGGAACATGCCTTTACTTCGTGAAAACAAAATGTCGTGCAAACAAAAACTAGCAGGTTGCTGTAGCAGGGTTGGTCACCAAATTTTCGCCAAAAGATCTCCAAGTTACCATAATTCAAAGATTAACCTTTTGTTTTATTTTTTAACAGCAATATATATTACTTTTTTAATATATAAAGAATAAATCAAAATGCAGTGTTTATTTTTAAACAAAATAATAAGTTTGTAACCCTTCGAAATTATTTTCATGAAGCACCCTTATATTTCTCAGAAACACAAATACTTCTAAGAACATCTTTTTTGACCTTCTTTTAAAAGACCATGCAATTTTCATAAAAATTTATTTTGGTGATTAACATATCCTTCAAAGTGTCCACTTTAAGCTGAGTCATATCACTAGTCCAAAAATTGTTCACAATGCTAAATACTCGCTCATTTGCAACATTAATTCCAGGAAGGCAAAAGGAAAGCTCTGACAACTTTAAAACATTTGAACAAGCAATCTTATTAAAATATGCAATCATTTCCATCTCCCTCTGAACTGAGCACATATTATTTTTTGACCATTCCAATATTTTTACTTCCGTGATATATTGTTTAAGGTAAACATAGTTCTCATATATTTCATATTATTAGAAACTGACTATGTTTAAGGTAAACATAATCAGTTTCTAATAATTTATGATTTGACAGAATTTTATTAATTAACAAAAAAGCTGTTTGAACTTGACTCCAAGAAGGGTTTTCATTTAATATCCAGGTGTACGTTTCCAGCTCCTGAAATACATTTTGTCCATTTCTCCAAATGAGTAAAAGCAGTCCGATAAAATGAAACAATAGCTTCTCGAAATTCAATAACTTCGTTTTATAACAACAGTCCATTCTCTTAGTTTTCTAGATATTTTTTAACATTTATTGGAATAAAATTACCCTCTGTCTTGCTCAGTATTGAAGCTTTTGGAGCATCCATTGAAGCAATTACATCAAACACAGACACAGTTGGATTTTCAGTTGTTGTAATAACTTTATGAAATATTGAAGCCTGAGTGTTAATAAAAATGTAGCCAAGCTTCTGCCACTGGATTTTCAAAGAATTTTAAGCGTGGAACACTTTTTTTGAGACTGAAAATAAGCCCTCAGTGGTAAAAACAAACTTCCCTTACAGTGACAGGAAGTAATACTAAACATCTTGTCTGTGAATTCCCTAGTTTCATTGAAAAATCTGTTTGTATGAAGTTGAGCAAATTTTGCAATGTTTCCATTCTAACAGTATAGGATTTAAAGTATATCTTAGAAATAATCATTTCTATATCATCTGATGTTCTAATAGTATTATGGATAATATGCACTGCACAGAAATAATCATTTCTATATCATCTGATGTTCTAATAGTATTATGGATAATATGCACTGCACATCCGACTCAATTAAACCATGATTAAGGTTTTGTTTCAGTTTAGCAAAAACATTTTCTCCATGCCTATCGAACTCCATAACTATGATCTATAAATCTAACAAGTATTGGAAAAAGTTTTATTTTCTTGCGACTGGATGCATAAGATGAAACAAATGAACAGTTTTCCAAATCATTGTGCAAAGCTCTTAAAAGTGGTAAAGTATAAAAACATTTAGTATTATTGCTTTGGCCTTGGTCCGCACATGTAAATTTAGGCTCAAATGCTGTTTGAAGAAGCTTGGTCATACAATTCATAGACCTAAAGCTGTGGTTGTTGCAAATGGTAAGGTATGCAAAAGTACTGCAGTTAATTCTTCTACCTGATCACCCATTTTTTCCTGTTTGAAGAAATTCTTTAATTACAAGCTAGATGCAGCGGCAGAGTTTGACATTTTATGTTTATTACTATTTATAGGATGTTTTATATCTGTACAGCCACCATGGTTTATTGACAGTGTTGTAGAACATATATTGCATCATACGTTGGAATTGCTTACAGTTTTTCAATAAATGGTTATTCCTTCAGTAGGTCTTCGTACACTTTCTTTTTTTGAGTCCACTAAAATCATTAATGGTAAAAATAAATAATAAATTAAACTGCAGTAAAACATACCCTTTAGCATATATGCAAGCCACTGTTAGTAATTATAAAATATATGTCAGTGCCAAACAGGAAACGTCATTACACGTTTTTCGTTTTGTCAGATTACTTAAAATTTGTTCAACTCTTATGCAAAATCAAATTGACGATGGAGTGAAAATTTTACGATCTAACCCTGACAAAAGAATTATTTCTAGATGCCATGTAATAATGTGTAAAGGGATAATACATACTAATGTAGGTAATGCCCCATTGTTAATTAAAAAATATATGTTTATATTGTAAATTCAAATCATAAATCGAATTAATATCTCAATTAAAAATTACAGTGTTTCCTGTAAGTGAAAGTATGACTGCAATTATGAGTTGGGAGCAAAAATTCTGTGTATGTTTTGGGGGCTGGAGAGAGAAATACAGGAATAAGAAACAAAACTTCCCCATTACAATTTTTCTAAGTTAAATGCGAGATGAGTAATCTCCTGTTTATGCAGCCTGTATGGCATGCCTTCCTTAACTTTGTAGAGACGTTAGGTTATTTTGGAAGCAGGAGACAAAAAATGAGCAGTGCCCTAGCCGGGACTCGAACCTCATGAAATAAGCACTGAGTGTG